TGTATTTAGGTACATTAAAAACTCCATTAGACAGTCTTTTTGCTTTCAACAGCCCAAACACATTTAAAGAATTCAAGAGGATAAGAATTCTTTATCATATTCACCCAGATGGTTGCTATTAGTGTTCCTCTTTCACTCCTGACATTCCAGGTTTCCTTCTAATATCATTTCCCTTATATCTGAAGAACTTCCTTTAGCCCCCCTTTTTAGAACTGATCTGCTGTTAATTAATTCTCTTCATTATCCTTCCTCTGAGAATGTCTTTCTTGGAGTTGGGTATAGAATTCTGAGTTGATATGTTGTTGTTTTTTTTAAAATATTGTGCTGCTGGGGTGCCTGGGTGGCTCAGTTGGTTAAGCGCCTGCCTTCGGCTCTGGTCATCATCTCAGGGTCCTGGGATTGAGCCCCACGTCCGGCTCCCTGCTCAGAGGGGAGTCTGCTTCTCTCTCTGACCCTCTTCCCTCTCGTACTCTCTCTCATTCTCTCTCTCAAATAAATAAATAATACATAAATAAAATCTTAAAAAATAAGAATACTGTGCTACTTTTATAGAGAAGTTGAATCACTATGTTGTACACATGAAATTCATGTAACATTGTCAGCTATCCTCAAAGTAAAAAATTTAAGGGGCACTTGGCAGGCTCAGTCAGTAGAGCATATGACTCTTCATCTTGGAGCCATTTGTTTGAACTCCACATTTTGGGGGTAGGGTTTACTTAAAAAATTTTTTTAAATTAAAAACATAAAAAACAACTTTTGTTCTAAAAAAAGATTAAAAACACTGTGCCACCTCTTTTTGGCTTCTCTGGCTTCTGATATGAAATCTGTAGTTCTCTAAAAGAAAAAAAAAAGTGACATCTGTAGTTCTTTGAGTAATTATTCCCCTATAGTTAATGTGTTTTCCTCTCTTTGTTTTCAGGATTTGTTTTCTTTGTCTTTAATTTTCAGTGGTTTGGTTAGATGTGTGTGTTTGATTGATTTCTTTTTGTTATCTTTTTTGTTAAGATCCTTGAATCTGTAGTTTTATTTTTTTTATTTTTTTTTTAAAGATTTGTATTTATTTATCGGGAGAGATAGTTATAGAGAGAGAGCATGAGAGGGGGAGAGTCAGAGGGAGAAGCAGACTCCCTGCTGAGCAGGGAGCCCGATGTGGGACTCGATCCCGGGACTCCAGGATCATGACTTGAGCCCAAGGCAGTTGCTTAAACAACTGAGCTACCCAGGCGCCCTGTAGTTTTATGTCTTTCACAAACTCGAGGAGTTTTCAGCCATTTTTATTTCAAATATTTTCTTAGCAATAACAATGCTGTTTTTCTTTCTGTTCTGTGATAACCTGTATTTAGGCCTGTAGTCGTTATGCCATAGTTCTCTGAAGCTTTGTTAGTTTTTTCCAATTTTTTTTCCTCTTTGACTCAGTTTGTATAATAGATTTCTGTTGACTTATCTTCAGGTTTATTGACTCTTTACTATTGAGCCCATCCATTAAGTTTTAAAAAACTTTTTGGTGGGCGCCTGGGTGGCTCAGTTGGTTAAGCGACTTGCCTTTGGCTCAGGTCATGATCCTGGAGTCCCGGGATCGAGTCCCACATCGGGCTCCCTGCTCAGCAGGGAGTCTGCTTCTCCCTCTGACCCTCTTCCCTCTTGTGCTCTCTATCTCTCATTCTCTCTCAAATAAATAAAATCTTTAAAAAAATAAAAAATAACTTTTTGGTTATTACATATTTAAGTTAAAGTTTCTGTGTGTTCCTTTTTACAAATTCTATTTCTTACGATTCCCTCATTTGTTTCAAGAATGTTTACTCTTGTATTTTGGAGTATTTTTATAATCACTTCCTTAGTCTTTGTCAGATAATTTCACCAGTTTTGTCATCTTGGCTTTGGTGTCTATTGATTATCTTTATAAGAGTTGAAATTTACCTTGTTCTGGGTGTGCTAAGGAATTTTGGATTGTGCAGTTGACCCTTGAACAACACTGGGGTTAGGGGCACCAAACATCTGTACATTGAAAAATCCACATAGAAGTTTTGACTTGCCGAAATCTAATAGCCTTCTATTGACTTAACTGTAACAGTCAAGTAGTGTGTGTGCCTGCACGTGTGTGCGCGCACACACACACACATTTCAGCTTTTTAGAAACTGTTTATTTCCATCAACCTTATTTCCATTTTGTTTGCTTTTGTGGAAGTGCAGCTTAAGACTCAGTGGTTGTTCCTAGCTCTTCAGTGGGCAGAACAGTGGAAGCTGCGGACCCGCCTTCAGCGGCAGGCTGAGTGCTCCAGTCCTCAGTAGGGGCCTGCTGATGAGGTCCAGAGGGCCCCTGCAGGTCTTCACAACAGTGTGCGACTTCCCATTGAGTTATCGGTGAACCCAGGAACTGGAGCAGTCCATTCACCCTGAAATTCCTTCACAGCCTTTTCAGCAGTGACCTGCTTTTCAGTCTCTTGAGGATCTTTGGAATAGTAGAGATGAGGCCTGACCTCCCAGATGAACACACATTTTGTATCTTATATGTATCATATGTTATACTCTTACCGTAAGCTGGAGAAAAAGAAAATGTTACTAAGAAAATCATAAGGAAGAGAAAATACATTCACAATACGGGAAAAAAAAAATCTGTGTATAAGTGGAGCTGTGCAGTTCAAACCAGGCTTGTTCAAGGATGCAACTGTCTTTTGGATATTGTATGTATTATGAGATTGAATCTTAAATTCTTGAGAGAATGTTCTTTTTGTTTTAGCAGCAATCAACGTGGTTGGCTTCAGAGTGAATGTTGTCATCTGTTTTCTGTTCGGTATAGGCCTCTGTATGTTCACAGGTGTAATACCATCTGGTTAGTCCGAGACCTGTGGTCTCTTAGTTGAGTTTTAAAATATTTTTGGTATGCTTATTAGGATCCTATCTATACATGCCCAGCCTAGGGATGGGCCCAGGAGTTGATAAACAACTTTATTGGGTCACCTCACGCTAGCTTTTCCTTTGTTATCTGTGCTAGGCCTTCCATTTTCATTCCTCTTGCTGAGAAAGCTGGGATTTGGGTTACTTTGCATTGCTACATCTGCGTCTGTGTTTATGGCCAGGTGTTGAGAGTACAAGGGGAGACTAAGGAAAACTTTTTTTTGTTTTTACTCGCCACACTTCTGATGCTAAATGTGTGGGGTTTTCCCCTCATGCCAAAAGCCAGTTCTCTGGCTCTTTGGACACCAGCTGGATGTTGTACAATGTAATTCAGCTCTAATACCAACTCCCCGGAGTTAGATCCTGCAGATTAAGTCTTGTGGGACTGCCCTTCAGATGCTTTTCTTAAGGCCTGGGTTATCACTTGTACTTTTTCCCAACTGGCTATAAATCAGGGGTTTCCACAGTCCCCCTCCTCAGGTTTGATAATTGGCTATCATGACTCACAGAACTGAGGCAAATGCTTTACCCAACATTTGCTGGCTTCCCAGAAATGATATCCTGAAAGATACAAATGGACAGTGAAGTGAAGAGGTACACAGGGCAAGGTCTGGAGGGGTCTTGAGCACAGGAGCTTCTGTCCGTGGAGTTAAGGTGTGCCACCTTTCTGGCATGTGGATGTGTGTTCACCAGCTCAGAAGCTCTCTGAATCCCATTGCTTAGGGGTTTTACGGAGGTTCCATTACGTAGGCATGATTGATTAAAGTGTTGGCCATTGCTGATTAACTCACTCCTTAAGTCCCTCTCTTCTCCCCTGGGGTTAGGGGAAGGGGGTTGAAAGTTCCAACCCTCTGATTGTGCCTAGGTTAATCTGGTGACCAGCCCCCTTCCTGAAGCTATCTAGCCCCTCCGCCCCCAGGCATCTTATTAGCATACAAAAAGACACTTATCACTTGGGAGATTCCAAGGATCTTAGAAGCTCTTGTGTCAGGAACTGGGGTCAAAGACCAAATATTAGAACAAAAGATGCTCTTAGCACCCCTATTTATCAGGAAATAACAAGGGTTTTAGAAGTTCTGTGTCAGGAACTGGGGGCCGAGACCAAATACATATTTATTCTTAGGTCAGAAAGAAAAAAGACAGCGGGAATTGACCTACCCTCATGAGACTGCAGTTTCACTGACAGAAGAAGAATGTTCCTTCTCTGACTCACATTTTGCCTCTTGGCTCCTGTTGCAGCCATAGAATTACTTACTTGGTAGCTGGGGCACAGAAGAATCAAGTTTTAAAACAGTAACAACAACAACAAAAAAAACTGGGAGATTTCTGTAGTGTTCTAAGTCTCAGGAGCTCCCTTCTTCGCTTTTCGAGGCAGGAGTATAGGGCTTCTCCTGGAACTCTCCCTGTCGGCACCCCAAGTACTTACTTTGGGTATTAGATTTCATTGATTAGGCAGGAGGTGATGTTGGAAAAAGTGAAAACTCACCACTGATTTTTAGTTGAAGTTTGTTCTTCCTGGATCTGCCTGCTACTTCTCAAGTTTCACAAATAGTTGACTCATGTATTCTGTTCAGATTTCTTAGCTGCATTTAGTGGGACAGACAGAATGAACTACATTTACTCCATTTTACTTGTAATTAGAATGACCGGGGTGTTTCTTAAGAGTCGCTTAAAAACAAGTGTGGGAAGGCATTTGATGTAGCTGAATGGCTGTTTGTGTTTGATATTATGCTGTATGTCCTCTATTATGGGAAAAGTTTGGTTAGAAAACAGAGGAAAAGAAGAGGTTTTCATTGTTAACAGCACTGCCTGTTAAGTTTTGTCTGAGATTTGTGGGAGAGAAAGCATGTTTATAGCTAACTGCTTAGAATGGCCCAACTGCAGCAACCTCCAGTAAGCTGCTGTTGGTGAAGTATAACATTCCTCATATGAACACTATTTTCTTTTCATAGGAACTAAACGTTGAGAGCCACCAACTTCCCAGTTAAGGCCTAAACTCTTTACTGGGACATTGAAGATTGCTTTCGAGGTGGTTTCCCTTCTAGTCTTTCTTTCTCTTCGCCCACCCTCTCCCATCAGGACCTCTTTTTTTTTTTTTTTCCCCCCAGACCATCACAGAAAGCGTTTATTTACCACAGAGGAAACCAGGAGACACCAGAGCCCATGCCCAGCAGCCTGGGCGGGGTGAGTAATCAGGGACAGGGGACAGGAGGCGGGAACCCCAGGAATCATATTTGGGCAGTCTCCGACCGGCAGGTCTGCTCAGGCTGGGGGACGCTCTGGCTGGGCTCGCGTGTATAGCTCAGGGAGGTCAGCTTTGACAAGCAGGCTTCGTCCCGGACAAAGCCAGGGACAGCCAGAACCAAGGGCAACAGCTGCACAGACACCACCTTAAAATGGGAATCAAATTAGGCTTATGACATCAGAAGTGCATTTCACCCTGATTGGAAAACAAGAGGGAAAAGGGAGCACTGGGCCCTAGTGGATAGCCTGTCTTTGAGATAAAATGCTTTTAAAAGTTAAATATTGGCAGGGCCTTCCCCCTTGTTAATAGCAAGCAGCACACAATCTCCAAGCCAGCTTTACAAGCTACTGTTAACTTTGTTATCTGTTATTATTTGGATTTTGAACAAAATTGATGGAGTAGGAACCAGTAGAGGAATCCTGTTTGATCTGGAAATTTTCGGTGGAGAGTCCAAAAGGTCGAAGAACCAAGTTCCCAAAATCTTTTAGTTTACCTAACATCTTTTTTTTTTTTTTAAAGATTTTATTTATTTATTTGAGAGAGAGAGAATGAGAGAGAGCACACGAGAGGGGGGAGGGTCAGAGGGAGAAGCAGACTCCCCGCTGAGCAGGGAGCCCGATGTGGGGCTCGATCCCGGGACTCCAGGATCATGACCTGAGCCGAAGGCAGTCGCTTAACCAACTGAGCCACCCAGGCGCCCCTAGTTTACCTAACATCTCTGCCTTTAGCCTTTCGTTACGTTCTTCAGTCTGTTTAGGTAATCTCATGCAAGCTTTCTTGATTGATGTACAGATGGATCTTTTTCTAAAATGGATTTATAGTCCTCCAGGGCTTCATCTAGCTTGTCCGTTTTCTCGTACAACTCTGCTCTCCTCAGTATTGCCTTGATATAGCTGGGGTTTAACTGAGTTGCTTTGTTGCAGTCACTGACGGCCATCTCTTTCTTGTCCTGTTTCATCCTTGCAGCAGCTCTATTTGAAAACAGAATAGACCTGTCCTTCTGGAAGCAGGATGGGCACATCTGAAGGGCTTGACTATACGAACTCTCAGCTTCTATTTAATCTCCTCTCTTAAACTGCACATTTCCCTCCTCCTTTAGTCTAGTGCTCTCTTCTCTTCTCTTCTGTTTCTCCTCAACTGGCATGTTTTTTTCCAGTTTTATTAGGTATTCTTCATCAAGTTCAGAGGAATTCACATTATCATCAGGTTTGTTCTCAACCTTGTCTGCTCCTGGCTCCTCCTTCTCAAATGAGGCACTAAGGTCATGAAAACACTCCTCTTCTCCCTGGTCTTCCTGGGAATGAGCTGCAACATCCTTGAGCAGCTTTCTCTGGAGATGGTGATCTTTGGGACTGGAAACCGGAGGGGTAGCACACTCTGCTTCCTGTGGATCTGTAACTTTCAAACCATTGAAAAGATCCTCTGGAGCCCTACAGTTCTCTGACTTCTCCCCCATGCTGTATCAGTGAGGGAGGTGAAGCCAAAGCTAGGTCCCCAGCTCCTCTAGTCTTCCCCATCAGGACCTCTTTATATACCTTGCTATCAAGCTGTTTTGGGGATGTCTGGATAGGCTGGAGCCTTTCCTGTTTCCATGACTTTGAGTACAGAAGTTGTCCATTAGTTATTCTCTTTACTTTTTTTTCCATTTATTAGAAATTCCCTTTTATACTTAAAGAATGGATTCTTCATGAAATCATTTTCTGTATTAGCAATGTGTACATGCTCCAGTTTATTACTTCTGATTGCACTTGGTGTAGAAGTCTGCCTTTTGTTCTAGCCTGAACTCTTGGAAGGGAGAGAACTGTGATGTACAATCTCTTTATACCCTGCTGTAGCAGAGTGCCAGTGATAAATGTTGGAATGAGTCAGGGAAGGGAGAGGGAATCGTTCAGGGTCTATTTAATGGTAAAGGGGTATGGTGGGTGGAGCATAAAATAGTTGAATTAGAAAAGAGAGTGAAAAGCAGAGACTAGTACTGTATAAATGGAATTAGAAGCTTGTGTTTTGGGGGAAAATGTTTTATTTGGGTTTTAGAAATAATAGGTAGTCCTCTTCCTTGTCTTTTTATTCCATAGTTTTTCTTTTGGAGGGACAGCTTTTTCTCTTGTTCTTTCTGTCCAAAGAGCCAGCTGCCACAGATTTTTCTACCTTGTGTTTTCCAGATGTTCCTCTTAATTTGAATATGTTTATTTACTCTTTCATACAAAAGAGGCGTGTGGATAGCTGCACCAAGTATTCTTTTCTAAGCCAGCCAGACATTTGGATTTGGAGAAAAGTTAGATTTTGAAGTGAAAGACAAGTAGCTTGTGCCTATGAAACCGTTCATGTCTTCTTTGCCCATTGCTGTTGCCAGGTTGGGCGCTGTTTTACCTCTGTCTTCATAGTACGTCTTGTGACAAATCTATTTCCCAAAGTAAGGACCGAATTCATCGTGAAATCTGAGATGCAGTGAGCCTTCGTACAGACTGGAGTTTCTACCCTGGTACTTCAGTGCCCTTGGGAAGCTCCCTGAACTTAGGCGAGCTTGGGCTTTTCTCTGGTGACGTTTGGCTGTGGCTTGCAGGGTGGACTGGGCTCCCTGTGGGAGGTGGGTCATGCTTCAACCCAGCAGGTAACTTGATCTCCCCTGACAGACACAGTTGAATTCTTCCTCCTTTATGACTCCCATTCTCAACCTTCTATGATGCTTTAATTCCAGGGAAGGTGGAAGATGGGAGCCCTATCTTTGCCTCAGTCCTGATTTCCCGAGCTCTGTTTATCTGATTGTGTTTCTCATAGTCTCCAGACTAAGTCCTCAAAGAAGCACTTTTCAGCTTTTATTCTTTCCTGATAGCTAGGACCAGGCATAGAGCCACAAGTAAATTCAGTGATTGGCAGAAAAATCACTTTGGATCTAATTATTGAGGTTAATTATTAGGCTTGGAGCTCATTCAAAGTACTCATTCTGACCTCTGGGTGGAGAAGAAATTTTCTTGTTTGGGAGGTGGTGAGAAAAAAGATGATTTATTTTTAGAGAGAGAATAAAAACATTTCCCAAATGTTTTTGGTGGCTTCATGTGTCCTCTCCTTGCTCACTGGGAATGACTGTGCTGAAAAAACATTTTGAGCCCCTTGACTGCTTTTCATGATTGCTGTTTCAAGTAAGGGAGCTAACTGTAGAGTGCCAGGAATTTTAAGGAGAGGACCATTTGTGTGGTTGATTTTGCTATTTTTTTTTTTTTTAAAGATTATTTATTTGAGAGTGGGGGAGAGAGTGAGCACAAGCCTGCCAGTATGGGAGGGGAGGGGCAGATGGAGAGGGAGAATCTCAAGCAGACTCACTGCTGAGCACAGAGCCTGAGGTGGGGCTCCATCTCAGGACCCTGAGATCGTGACCTGACTGAAATCAAGAGTCAGAGGCTTAACTGACTGAGCCACCCAGGCACCCCTGATTTTTGCTATTTTTAATAATCATCTAAAGCTCTTGGTGAGAAAGCAAGGAGTCACGACTATAAGTCAAGGGCTTCCATGTCCTTTGTGAGCCCAGCAGCAGTATTGGACGATTTGGGGAGTGGAATCTGAGGTTGGAAAGCCAGCTTTGGGAGCTTCTGCAAATGCCTTGGTATCTGGTAGAATGGCTGCTCTGAAAAGGATCTCTGCCATTTGATGCACTAATGGAGGAATGGTAACAGGTGTTCCTTAAAGCTAAGTTGCGTTTATGGCCTGTGGTCATTTAGGCACTATATGATGATTTTCACATATCCATTTTGATACTAGATTAGATTTTCAGTAAGGGTTTGTTGATATCTTTCATGACCATCTTAAAAAGTTTTAACTGTTTAATTTGGAAAATATTCACAATTTTTGATTTTTAAATTAAAAATATACATGCTGTATTTCCTGTGGTAAGAGCTGTTGGGATAAATCAGACTTCATCTTCCTGTCCCAAATTCCCAGGGAGGAGAAATACTTAAAAAACCAAAAGAAAAATAACCAGAATTTTTGTGCAAAATAGTGGGAATTATGGTCCTGAAAACGATGAGGCATTTCTGAAGGAGAAATGGCAGATGTATTCATGCAGCAGAAAACCCCGGTCTAACACACAGGCAGGGGAAAATGGCTACAAAAATGGCTACAGCTTCAGAAGAGAAAGATCCAGAGCAGGAAGGGGAATGTTGGGCAATTGACAGGATGTTTGGTTCAGAAACCTCATTATGATCATCCAGCTGGGTGATTCCTCCATGCTGAGCGTCTGTCGGGAATGGTTGGTAAACTGTAGAGCCAGCCATATCTTGGAATTCTTTAGTAGCGAAAGAAGAATGAGGTAGATCTCTACATATTGACAGAACATCTCTAAGACATATTAGGAATTGAAAAAGAATCTGTAAAATGGCACTAGAATAATACTGTTGATGTTTAAAAAACTCCACACTAATAAGATTTTATAGGTTTTTTTTTTTTAAAGATTTTATTTATTTATTTGACAGAGACACAGCAAGAGAGGGAACACAAGCAGGGGGAGTGGGAGAGGGAGAAGCAGGCTTCCCATGGAGCAGGGAGCCCGATGCAGGGCTCGATCCCAGGACCCCGGGATCATGACCCGAGCCGAAGGCAGACGCTTAACGACCGAGCCACCCAGGCGCCCTAAGATTTTATAGTTTTATAGTTACATACATTACATTAAAAGCATAGACTGGTAGTACTCAGCAGTGCCACTATTGACATTTTGGATTGGATAATCCTTTGTTGTAGGTGGCTGTCCTGTGTATTGTAGGGTATTTAGAATCCTCCCTGGCCTCTGCCTACCAGACACCAGTAGCATCGCTCCAGTCTGGAGTGGTGACAAGTAAAACGTTCTGTGGACTTTGGCACCTATGTCCTGCAGGACACAGTTGCTTCCTGTTGAGATCCCCTGGCACAGACAAAGGTCTAAGAATGTGTACTCACATGAGAAGTGATTCCTGGACAGAGAAAATGTAATGGGGAGAGAGGTATGGTTAGTGGGATTATTAGCTTTATTTTGAACAAGAATAATGTTTAGGTATTATGTGTAATTTACAAAAAAAAGCCCCAGAATATATCTTTGCTTATTTGTAATATCTCTATATTAAACTTAAAAATGGCTAATGGTCAAAAGGAGAAATACAAATAGCTCACAATGGGGTGCCTGGGTGGCTTAGTTGGTTAAGCGACTGCCTTTGGCTCAGGGTCCTGGGATCGAGTCCCGCATCGGGCTCCCTGCTCAGCGGGAAGCCTGCTTCTCCCTCTCCCGCTCCCCCTGCTTGTGTTCCCTCTCTCGCTGTCGCTCTCTCTGTGTCAAATAAATAAAATCTTTAAAAAAACCAAACAAACACCCCCCCCCACAAATAGATCACAATGTGAAGATATGCCCAAAGTCACTAATTATTAGGGAAATGCAAATTAAAAAAAAAGTGAAGAATCCTTCCCCCTCCCACTTCCATTAGTTAATTAAAATCCAAAAGATCAGTTATTCAGTGGTGGTGTGGGGAAATTCGTCTCTGGTAGGCATGTTAATTGACATAAGCTTTTAAATGTGTAGTTTGTAGTATTTAAACTTTCAAATATTTTTCTTACATACACACATACAGTTTGGCATGTTCAGGGAAGCCTGTTGCAGCTCTTAGTATCTGCAAATTGGAAACCATATCCATTATTGGAGGAATGGTTAAATAAGCTGTGGTTTACCCGGGGTACTAGGATGTTGTATACCAGTTAAGCAAGTTGCAGATGTTGTATAGCTGTTAACTAAGTAGAAAGAATAATATATAGCAGGATATAATTTATGGGAAGAAAATCTTAAACATAAAATAAAACGATGCACTTTCATGCCTGCATGTACATATGAAAATGTTTAGGTAAGTCTGGAAGGACGCATGCAAAACTGTTGGTAATTGCCTTTAGGGTAGAAAGTGGGATCTTTAAGGGGGTGAGAAGCAATGGTTATCTTTATTGCTTAAACTCTTTGTTTTAGTGGCGCCTGGGTGGCTCAGTTGGTTAAGCATCTGCCTTTAGCTCAGGTCAGGATCCCAGGGTCCTGGGATTGAGCCCCCATGTCAGGCTCCTTGCTCAGTGGGGAGCCTGCTTCTTCCTCTCCCCTCTGCTTGTGTTCTCTCTTGCTGTCTCTCACGCAGATAAATAAAATCTTAATAAAAATCAAGGTAGTATATTCATATATTGAGTGATTAAAAGAAAACCAAAATTTAATAACATCTAGGTGATTTGTTTTTATGCACAGTGTTGTCAATTAGTGACACATATTGAGCAGTGATAGTGATGGTGGGGCTCCAGTAGTTTTTTGAGATCTCATGACTTTGTTGGCCTCTCTGTATTTTAAATGATTAGTACTGACATGTAGCTATTCATATGCTCTGGAAATATTTTTTAAAAATACCCTGATTGGGACACCTGGGTGGCTCAGTCAGTTGAGTGTTGGACTCTTGGTTTCGGCTCAGGTCATGATCTCAGGGTCGTGAGATTGAGCCCTAGCCCTGGGCTCTGCATTCAGTGGGGAG